ATTAATTTACAGTTTTCAAAAATATTACTTGAAACCTGAATTTTTTAAAAAAATTATACATTTTTAATTATGCCCTTATCAAATATATTATATAAGTATATTCATAATGCTAGTTAAAATTTCAATACATTATTTTTTTAAGAAGAATAATAAATGAAATAGAATTATAGTTAAACAATTAATTATAAAAATTACTCAATACTCTATATTTTAAATTAAGTAAGATTATTAAAAAAAATTTATATTAAAATATGGAGGGAGTATTTCCTAGTTTTGCAGGAAAGACTTCTACTATATTAGCGATGAAAATGTAAATGAAAATGACAGTGGAAAAGTGATATTAGGTATGCAAGTGAAAAAATAAAATATTTAACAAGCAATATTTGGTATATAAAAATTAACCACAAAAAAAAAAGGAGAGAAATTGAGAATGATTGATGGCTCACTCTGGGTTTTCGCTCGGAATTCCATGCTTCTTTGAGGCAATTGGAAATGGAAGCATTTGGGGACGACTTTTTTCTCGCTGGAATGGAATTAATAAAAAACTTCAATGCATCTTGCCAAATTTAAATTTTTATAAATTTATTACCAATTTGAATAGTTTTTCAATAGCTCATATTAATGAAAAATTATATGATTATGTATTTATAAAATTTATAACAAGTTTTAAGGTTTTTAAAGGATAAATTATTTGAAGCAAACTTCTCTTTGGTTTAATTTGAATTGAAACAAAAGATTAAATTCCATGCAAATTTTGTTTTTTTTAAATAATTCTTACAAACTGAAGTTCAGATCCTATTTTTTTTCCTTGTTTCTTTTCTTTCCCATCATAAAGAACTATCTCTTCAAAGAAAAAAAATAAAAAAATATAATTATTAATCTTTATAGTTTTAATATTGTTTCATGTCCCTCTAATTATTTGGCATATAACATCAGTTCTTATATTTTTTTAATATGTCAAAATAAAATGATGAGATGAAACTATCAATATTAAACATGCTCCATCGTGGCTAAGGTCATCATATTTTTTTGATAAAGTAGAATTATGTTTCAACAAATTGAAATATGAAATTTGAAATGGAATAGGGGTAGGCACTGTTGTTAATTTATTGAATCATAATTTTACCTGGTACAAATTAGCCACGTTAGTCATAAGTCAGTATATTTATCTTATTAGTGCCATGTTACCATCCTTTTAGGCATATTTAAAAGTAAAGGAATTAATATTGCATATCAAACAAACTAAAAGGATTAGGAGCAACACAAAAAACTATAGAGATCTATATCAAAACGTGTTGAAATTAGAAGGATTAATAGTTCTATTTTCCAAAAAATAAATCTGTGAGCTTTTTTATTTTGGAAGTGAAAAAGAGGCCATTGGCGGGATTGATTTTGGTAGTTTAACGTTGATAATTTCTTAAAAAACACTGTAACGCGTAAATATAATTTAAACGATGATTACCAAAAAGAAACAATGGAAAGGAAATAAAAGAGTGAAGAGAAATAAAAGGAGGAAGTTAGACGTCCTTTTACTTTGAACGAAAGCAGAAGCTGCTCTGTGGTAGTTTGGTTCCTTTCTCGGAAGCCCCACCGGTCAGTCCCCTCTCTTCCATTTCCTTCCCTTTCTACTTTCTTACATTTCCCATCTCACCTTCATTGCCTTCTCTCTCAAGCTTTTATATTCTCCTCACTCATTCAAATTAAAGCTATTGCCATTTGATCAAATTATCAAATCACTGGCTCAAGATTTAATAACTAAATTATATTTAAATAATAAATTATAATCAAATTGATTATAAATAAATTATTTTATTTTTAATATTTAAATTATTTCTCAATTTATGTATGTCTTCCTTGTATAGGGCCATATTAATTTATTGATTAATTGACCCAATTAACCCAATCTTCAATAGTAAAAATAGGGAAAATCATATAGAGGTCTCATGAAAGAATTCTAATCACCAAACACTCCCACAAAATCTAAAAATAGCTCTGAAACTCTCTAGGCTTTAATTGCTAATAAGTTTTAAAATGAATTTACTAAAATGTTCTTATTTTAAAAATTTCTTCCTATGGTTGCTAGTGTTGGTCAGTGGTCGGGAAGCAACTGGCGGTAATGGCAGCCGAACGACAAGGGTACTTCTGATGCTCCGTCAATCGACAATCATGAGAAGAGATTTTTTGTATTTTTAAAATAAGAGAATTTTGTTAAACACGCTCCAAAATTTATTTGCAATTGAAACCTAGAGGATTTCAGAGCTATTGTGGGACCTTTTGGTTTACATATATATATATATATATATATTTTGGGACCTCTATGTGATTTTTCCAAACATATATTCCCTTGAGGAGGAAGACTGCCGCAGGGAGCTCGAGTTTTTACGACGAAACTACCAGGATCTTTCTAGGAAAGCCCAAATCAAATTTCTTTTTTTGTGTATTGTTGCTAAAATGGTATTTTCCTTCTCAACTAATTTCTCACTTGAAATATTTTTATTCATTTCTTCTATCGAACCCTTTTCCATATATGGACCACCTTAACACTTCGGCTTATTTCAAAATAATTTTGAACTCATGCTTCTCAGTTCTCACTTCGAGGCATATCAAACATCAGACACAGAAAGCATAGCAGGCAGAAGCAAAGCCAGCCATGTCCACCATCAAGCTCGTGACGATGCTGCTCTTGGTAGTGACAGTATTTGCAAGTAAGGAAGACACAAGCTTCATCTACAATGGCTTCCAATCGGCTGATTTAACCATTGACGGAGTTTCTTCTCTCAGCTCCGACGGCCTTCTCCGACTCACCAACGGCATCAAGCAACAAAAAGGTCACGCCTTCTACCCCAACCCTATAGCTTTCGTCAAAATTCGTCTTTCTCTACCACTTTCGTTTTCGCCATTAGATCTGAATACCCAACTCTGAGTGGTCATGGAATAGCTTTCGTAATTTCTCCCACAAAGGCTTTCCCAGGTGCTCTGCCCAGTCAGTTCCTCGGCCTCTTCAACGAAACCAACAATGGCCACCCCACAAACCGTATACTCGCAGTAGAACTCGATACCATTCAGAATAGCGAGTTCGAGGATGTCAACGATAACCATGTCGGAATCGACGTTAACGACTTGAATTCAGCGAAATCTGCTCCCGCTGGATATTATGTTGATGGGTTTCATTTTGAGAACTTGAGCCTTATCAGTGGACTTCCAATGCAGGCTTGGGTGGACTATGATGGAGGCAAGAATCAAATTAGTGTAACCTTAGCTCCAGTCAACGTTAGAAAACCAGAAACCCCATTGTTAACGTTATCCCATGACCTTTCCCGGATACTAAGCCAGCATAGTTATGTCGGATTCTCATCTTCCACAGGGTCAGTCTCAACTTCTCATTATGTTCTTGGCTGGAGCTTTAAGCTCAATGGGAAGGCTGAAAACCTTGTCATCACTGAACTCCCAAAGCTCCCTGAACTTGGTGGTGGTAAAAACGAACAATCTCTGATTTTGCTGGTTGGGATACCTCTGATTTCTGTCTGTTTAATTTTCCTGCTAAGCTTAGCCGTAGTTCATTTTATAAAGAGAAAAAGGAAGTTTTCTGAGGCGCTTGAAGATTGGGAGCAAGACCATGGTCCTCACAGGTTCAAATACAAGGATCTGTATATAGCCACAAAGGGATTCAGGGAGAAAGAGCTTCTGGGCAGTGGTGGTTTTGGTAGAGTCTACAAAGGGATAATGCCAATTTCGAAGATCGAGGTTGCTGTGAAAAGAGTGTCCCATGAATCTCGACAAGGTATGAGAGAATTTGTAGCAGAGATTGTAAGTATTGGTCGTCTTCGTCATCGGAACCTTGTACCTCTTTTAGGGTATTGCAGGAGAAAAGGAGAGCTTCTTTTAGTTTACGATTTCATGCCAAATGGAAGCTTAGATAGATATCTCTATAATCAACCCAGAGTGACATTGAATTGGACACAAAGATTTCGAATCATCAAAGGGATAGCTTCAGGATTATGTTATTTACATGAAGAATGGGAGCAAGTGGTTGTTCATAGAGACATAAAAGCCAGCAATATTCTTCTAGATTCAGAATTAAATGGAAGGTTGGGAGATTTTGGCCTTGCAAGATTATATGACCATGGCAGTGATCCTCAGACTACGCATGTTGTCGGAACTCTCGGGTATCTCGCACCAGAACAGACAAGATTAAGGAAGGCCACAACAAGCTCGGATGTTTTTGCTTTTGGTGCTTTCACGCTTGAGGTGGTGTGTGGAAGAAGGCCTATAGAGCAAGGAGGAGGAAGTGACGGTGTCGTTTTGGTGGATTGGGTTTATGGTTTCTTCACTAGGGGTGAGATTGTTGAGGCAAAGGATCAGAATTTGCCTTTGGGAAGAGAGTATAGGGAAGAAGAGGTAGAATTGGCATTAAAACTTGGCCTCTTGTGTTCAAATTCTGAGCCTCTGAGGAGGCCAAGCATGCGTCAAGTTGTGCAGTATTTAAATGGGGACGCACCTTTACCTGATTTGTCTTCACTGAGCTTATCATCTTCTGGGTTAACATTTGGGCACCGTCAAGAGATTCATCATCACTCTGCCTTGTCCTTCCCATCTTCCATGGACGGCTCATTTTCTCAGAGTTCTTCGATAGCTGAATCACTTTTATCTGGAGGACGGTGACTTCGGTTTTCCAAATGCATATACTATTGATTTGTTTTGGTGCTTCCTTGCCCTGTTTTTTTTTTTTTTTCATTTTAATTTTCAATAGGATTTTGGTTTTGTTGGTTGGTTTTTGTATTACATGCTTGTTGGAAAGAAAATGCGATGATTTATCAAAGTATTGATGCTTGGAAACCAAATTTTAGTGAACGGAAATCTATAGCCTTGTTTGTAAAATTCTACCATAGCTGCCTACAATTGCGCATGGACCAATTGTTCGCTAAAACCAGAAGAACAAAAAGCACTTTCAATAAAAATTATATTAAAAAAAATTTAACAAAAGAAAGAATAATACAACATAAATAAGTGCTTTCTGGACGTTACTCATTGGCGTTAATTTTAGAAAACACAACTCTTGTTCATCGCAGCGTCATCAGAGAAGAAAAGTTGTTAATCCACTATCTATGACTTGAATAGCTTACGCGCAATTACAAATGTACATATTCCATATGTAGCAAAACAGTAAATAGTTGATAGGGTTGGACCACTTCATACAGCTCTCAAGCAAATATCAGCATTTCAAATGTACACACTTGGTTAAGAAATTAGAACCACCTCAATGCCATTTTGCCACTAATTTCTCTTTGACATGACACAGTCCTAATATCCGCCATGCAAAGCAAATCTTCTTCACGTAGTCTTCCAGCAGTCTTCTTCATAACGATCTCCAACTCAATTTATTGTAACTCGTATGATGAAAAACTGAAACCCAATCTTCCATCGTTTGTGGATTTCAACTCAAGCTTCTGAAAAGGGCTGCAACGGGTCCATGTATTATACTTAAAAGCCTTCATAACGTACTAAGCCAGTAAATTAACAGAATAACAGGGGAAACATTGATTTGAATCATCCTTGTTTAAGTGTTAAGATTCACATCAATATATATATCTATACATACATACATACATATTGTAAAATAAAATTTATCGCAAGCCGTACAATTCAAAGTTATAAACCATATGGCTCATTTCTTATAAACAGATTTACTTAGGTATCCTTAAAGGCCTGGCTGACTGGCTTGATTAAACATGAAAAGACAATTAGGGTTGAACTTCATCAAAGCAGCCACTTTTAATTTAGGTTTTGGCCCCAATCCATTCAGCCATTGGCCCAGGTAGAGGTAGCTAAATCTGTTCCTGGCTCCTTAACTCTAAAAAGTAGTGTCCCTTCGCAAAACCCTTGCAATATGCATTGAATGACAATTGTCAAAGGAATCGAATACGAATTTTCAAGTAAAGAGAGGCATCAAGCGCATTTTAGGCAAACCTCAGGGAAGTTAGCATAATTTTCCCAGAAGTTTAAAATAAAAAGCTTTCTTCTATTTTCATGGTGTTATATAGACAATAATATTAAGATAGCTGTAGTTAGTTAAAAGTGAAAGGTTATTGGGCAGTTTTTTTTTTTTCTTTCTTTTTTTCTTTTTGCTTTCGCACTCCGTATCTTGAAGGATTTGGGTATATTGGGTTCATTGCCCACCCAGTCCACTCTAGACTAATTCAGATTCCCGCTTAGGTAGGCCTTTTTGAGGAGATTTCATAGGTATTAGTGGCGATACATGCTTTGCATGTTCGACTGTGCTGTTGCATATCCTGAGACTCGAACATGAGACTTTAGGTTAAGCTGCCCAAATCCCTAACCATTTGGACAAAGCCTGCTGGTAGGTTATTGGGGTTTTATTAGTGAAAAGGGATAAAACTTAAAAGCCCTATGTGGACAAGTGGACTAATATTCAAACCAATTGTGTAGGGCTTGCACTGCCCAGCCTTAAAAATAACTTTCGGTGCTAAAGCCAGGCTAAAAGGGTAAAGGCAAAATTAAACAGAAGGGTAAAAGTATAAGAAAAGCACCTGCTATTGGGATCATAATAGAACCCGCTGATAGAGCCATCGCTACAAAAAAACAGACATAGTAAAAGCCAGCTATAGTTAACCCACAATCTGTTCCAACATTCACAAAGTACTGTTCTTTCCATCTCTGCAATAACGAGTCAAGAAAAGTAAAGATTGGTTCAGATAAAGTAAATTTATTTTTTGAAAAATTGATCATTCTTTGCACAATCAAAATCAAGTTACCATAAAAATGTAAGGATAGTTGCTCAGGTCCAAAGACTTGCCACCATCAGCTTCCACTTGGGCCTGAAAAGAATGAAATTCACTAACAAAAAGCATACTATTCCATGATGAAACATACGTTTGCTTCCATTTGCCATAAAGAAGAAAGTATAATTCTTGGTATCAACAATCTCCCCTTCCCAGAATGTTACTACCTGAGTAAACAATTCAAGACAAAGCGAATGAAATGGATATCGTTCTTGGATGCTTATTAATAAGGACCAATAATATGCTTTTTTCTAATAGATAACCATTAGGACAAATTTGAAGCGGGAAAAGTACAAGGATACAGCCGTCTCAACTTAAATTGCAACTAGATAAATCCTACTGGACATGTGATAATCTGTAATGCTACCAACTTGCTATAACCTGAAGGTTTATAATATAAACACATATAGACAAGAGAAGTAAAGAACGGAATACAGATAGAAAATTCTACCAGATCACATTGGTCTGGTCACTTCTGCAATGTAACATGAGAGAAAAGTGACTTCTAATTAAGGATATTAACAATCAAAAGATTTAATGTCCTAGCCTGCAGTCAATAAAAAAGACCTAAACATTCAAAACACAAGTTGGCTAGCTCACCAGTAATATCAGTTATTGCTAACAGAAAATGAAATTGCAAACCTGTTGCCAAAAATGTTCATAGAATAATCATAAACATGTCTATGAACAGATTGTTAAGCACATACAGAAATGGTTGCTTAATCTGTCAAAAAAAAAAAAAAAAAGAAACTAGAGTCCAAATTGTGGCAAACAATAATTGACACAATAAATAATTCCAATCATTTGATCGAAAAATCAAGCATAACTGCAAAAGGAATAAACTGGTCAATCATGTGGCTAGTAGTAGCCTTCAACCTTGACTTCTTTCATGTATTCCTGTTAAAAAAGGAAGGAACATTTAAAAAAAAAAATGCTTACTGGCGTATCTGCCATAGGAACATTCAGAGCTTCCATGGTACCACATAGATACCCATGTTCAAGGTCACATCCCTGTATACGCACATTTACTCTCCATGCTTCGTCCTTTTGTAGGCTAGAAACATTCTGGGTGCCTGAAAAAGCCTGCAAAATATAAGTGACTTTAGTACATGTTTGAACTTTCAACTTATGCCAAAATAACATACCAGCTGAAAGATGTAAATCATAATTCAATGGCCTACAAATTGCTTCACCAAGATATCTCTTAATTACATACATTTGAGACTTTTTAATCAGAAATTGACTCTTAATCATAGCCATGAAAGAATTCAAGTAAACAACAAAAGAAACCAATTTTATCTGATGCAAAAGAATGAAGTTTGTAGTCATTGTAGCAAAAGAACTTTACAGCATCCTAAGCACCACAGCATCCATGAGATAAGCATATTTTCCCCATATGCACATAGATCATAAATGCCATAACGAAATATAGGTTATCACCAACCCAAAACCCCGCCATTCTGATTTACAAATTGAAACCGGTGTGCTTAGCTAATGACAATTGGGTAATATGAAATTGAGGAATCAGAAAATTCTAACTTGCTAAGAACTTCAACAACAACAACAACAACAACAAGCCTTTATCCCACTAGGTGGGGTCGGCTACATGGATTGCAAGACGCCATTGTGCTCTATCATTTATCAAACTTTTAGGAATATTATAATTAAGAGATCGCGTTCAACAACTTCCAAAAGTGTTCTCTTAGGCCTTCCTCTACCTCTCTTAATCGGACTTAAAGTTATATGTTCTACTCTTCTCACTGGTGCCTCCCTTGGTCTTCTTTGTACATGCCCAAACCATCTCAACCGATTTTCTACCATTTTTTCCTCAATAGGTGCCACCCTCACTTTTTCGCGTACATGCTCATTTCGAATTTTATCTTTACGTGTATGTCCGCACATCCATCGTAACATTCTCATCTCTGCTACTCCAACTTTATGCTCTTACTGTCCCGTTAGAGCCCAGCATTCACTACTATATAACATTGCCGGTCTGATAGCAGTGCGATAAAACTTTCCTTTAAGTTTATTAGGCACCTTACGGTCGCAAATAACTCCTTTAGCTTTTCTCCAATTAAACCACCCAGCTTGAATTCTATGTGAAATATCTCCACTGATTTCGCCATCATTTTGAATAATGGCTCCCAAATATCTAAACTTTTCCACTTGAGGTATAATTTGATCTCCCAATTTCACTTCCAAATTATTGTCGAATAGTCTTTTACCAAATTTACAATATAAATATTCCGTCTTACTTCTACTCAGACGAAAACCTTTCGACTCCAATGTCCTCCTCCATAACTCAAGTTTGCAATTAACCTCTTCTCTTGTCTCTGCTATAAGAACTATATCATCCGTGAAGAGCATACATTTCGGAATTTCCTCTTGAATATGTTCCGTCAAAACATTTAAGATCAAGTTGAACAAATAAGGACTCAGAGATGATCCCTGATGTAGTCCAATCTTTATAGGAAAATCCTTTGTTTGACCATTAGGCGTTCTTATACTAGTTTTTAACCCCCTCATGCATATCTTGTATGGCTTTAATATAAGCAATCCGTACTCCCCTTTTTTTCCAACGCTTTCCAAAGCACTTCTCTTGGTATACGGTCATAAGCTTTTTCCAAATCAATAAAACCATGTGTAGATCTTTATCTTTACAACGATACTTTTCCATTAATCCTCTTAGTAGATAAATCGCCTCTGTAGTTGATCTACCTGGTATAAAACCAAATTGATTCTCAGAAATACTTGTCTCCAATCTCAACCTGTGCTCAATTACCTTCTCCCACACAATTCATTGTGTGGCTCATGAGTTTAATCCCTCTATAGTTAGTACAATTCTGAATATCTTCTTTATTTTTATAAATAGGAATTAATGTACTTCTCCTCCACTCATCAGGCATTTTCTTGGACCGTAAAATCACATTAAATAACTTAGTTAACCATCTCACCTCTTCTTCACCTAAACATTTCCACGCTTGATAGATATACAATCAGGTCCATTGGCTCTACCATTTGCCATTTTCTAAAGAGTTTCCTTTACCTCCTTATCACGTATTATTCGATAGAATGACAAATTTTGTTCTCCTTCACCAGTTACTAAATCCTCCAAGTTCCTAGATGAATCCTCTCCATCATTGAAAAGTTTAGAAAAAGTCTCCTATCTATTTTTTAATTTCAATCATCATCTGTAACTAAAATTCTTCCCTTTTCATCCTTAATACACCTTACCTGTTCTAGATCTCTTGATTTTCTTTCCCTACTCTTGGCAATCTTATAAATATTTCGCTCTCCTTCCTTCGTCTCAAGGCTCTTATAAAATTCTTCAAAAGCTTTAGAACGAGCTTCACCCACAGCTCTCTTAGTTTCCTTCTTAGCCATACGGTACCTCTCCCCCAATTTTTTCTCATTGTTACACAAATGTATGGCTTTAAAACAGTTCTTCTTATACTTGATTTTGTCCTGTACACTATTATTCCACCACCAAGACTCCTTATCTCTCGGACCAGAACCTTTTGATTCTCCCAAAACTACTTTTGCAACCTCCCGTATCTTTTTAGCCATATCCTCCCATATGATGTTAGCACTTCCCTGAGATTCCCAAATTCCTTTATCCAAAAGATTTCGCTTGAAAATATCTTGCTTCTCACCTTTTAATTGCCACCACCTAATCTTTGGTGTTATTACTTGTCGACGTTTTTGGATTTTACTCATAATACACACATCAAGGACGTTTTTGAAATATCAAGAACTTGCTAAGAACTTCAATACGCAAAAAAAGTTCCATGCCACATATTTGATATTCCACCCTTCATCCTTCATGCCTTTAAGTACATACAGAAATGGTTGCTTAATCTGTCAGCCCACGTCTTTTACTTCCTCTATTTGCCTCTCCATAAGAGGGGCTCAGTTTACACAAATAAAAGTTCAGCTAGGGAACCTAAGAATCAGCTCTCTTATATAAGCATTAGAAATCTTCGCTGATATCCAACAATAAAGTAACAAGATATCCCAGCTATACGTGCCAATCAATGCTATGCAGTGGACTCTATGCACCCATATAATTTGTCATCGCCACATGAAAGTCCCAGTTTCCATATTGAGCAGATCAATATTTTGTTTAAATCAAGTACCTAGTTCATGACCTGGACCCTGGAGTAAAAGAACATAGAAAAGTGCTATTGACCTTAAACAAATGAACCGAGATCCTTGAGAAGCTTGTTTGATTTCTGGTAATTCATACTGATTTTCCGTATGATTCAAAGGGGCCATCAAAAGATAAAAATGAAATTAATGAACTTACCTGGCCAACACCCAAAAGTGTACAGGCTTGGAATGATGTCTGGCCTGAATTTGCACCTTCAGAAACGATCAAATGAAAACGAAAATATTACCACGGACAATAGTCTTCATAATTCCCAAAAGAGAAACGAAAAGAAACATAGTAACAATAATAAACAGACAATGCATTCATAAATGCCAATTTTGAGCGCCAAAAAAATGAATTGGGAGGAAAGGCAGATACCTGAAACCTGAGAAGGAGTCGAACTCTCCAGTACCCTCACGGGCATTTCTTAAACCGATCCAATTTCCTTGAAAATGGAGAGAATTGCACACTGCAGCTCCACCAACAGCAGAAAGAGACAATTTCAATGGAGGTCAGGTCTTCGACCCTTCGTTCTCATTCGTGACTATCTCTCTTTCCTTATTTTTTTCTTTCCCTTTACTAACTCAACAGTAAAGAAGGAGAAGCAAATTCCCACCCCCCTGCCCCTTTTTTGGTGATAGTATTAAGAAGAAATTTGGAAGCATTTATGATATTCTAGCACCCAAAGTCCAAACACACCCATTCTTTGGGCCGGATCAAGCCCAAACCTTATGCTTTTGTGCACCGTCGATTATAAATAATATAAATATTTTATTTTTCAAGCATAATCAACGATCTTCACCCTTTTTAGGCCAACAACTATCTTCATTCTTGGTGAATATAATTTATAAAATATATTTATTAATTATTAATTTGAACCCTTACAAATAAACTTATTATCAATAGTAAATAGACATTGGTTCATTTATAAAAATTTGACTAATGATCTACAAAATTAAGTTGTAAGATTAAATTTCATTGTCAAGGTAAGAACCTTGTTAATAAACAATTTATAAGAGGCACATTCTAATATTGATAAGCCACCTGATCCTATTTATCTAAACTTTCGAATGCACACAAAAAAAAAAAGCTCTATCAATAAAATCATTATGTTAAAATCAACACCAGGGAACTATTTAAATAAAAAATTAATCTATATATACTTTATAATGGTTAATTAAATCATAAAATAAAAAATTATAATTAACTCAGTATTTGTTTTTATGAAACAAAATTTAGACAAATAGGATTCCAAGAATCAAGCAATGGTTGACCACTTGACCTCATAATCTAAAATGCAGTTACAAGCTGCGCATAATATCCTCACATTGATTTTCTTTTTTTGGAGCAAAATATCCTCACATTGAATTATAATTAAATCATAAAATAAAAATTATAATTAACTCAGTATTTGTTTTTATGAAACAAAATTTAGACAAATAGGATTCCAAGAATCAAACAATGGTTGACCACTTGACCTCATAATCTAAAATGCAGTTACGAGCTACGCATAATATCCTCACATTGATTTTTTTTTTTGGAGCAAAATATCCTCACATTGAATTGTTAATTCAGTGACAGCAGAGTACTGTTGTAATACTTGTACAGACGTGTATTCCTTTTTTGGTAATATTGTATGGACATGTATTAATTTGACCCCTTACGAATAAATGCATTATCAGTGAAACTAATAATAATGACTATTAATATCTACTTATTATACAGTTGTTACCAGTTAAAAAAAATGTTTTTCCCCCCAACAACAGAATAAGTTTATAAGTCATCATAATATTATTGTTTATTATGAAATGCCAAGGGTAGTCAAGTCTTCAACTCATTTGAAGAAGGAAAATATCATTCATTAAAGAACGTTTATAAATATATTTATATTTTATAAATCATCTATTAACAAAATTATTATGTCATATTATTAATGATAGTTATATCAAATTGATATAAAAAGTAATACTCCCTCCATCTCAAATCATAGAATATTTTTAAAGGATTTTTTTTGCTTTAAAATATAAGACGCTTTGAGTAAATTAAAGTTTCATTACACGCATCAATTTTGATATTATCCTTTCTCTCTCTATAATTAACTTTTAGCCGTTCTCTTTTCAATATATTAAATGATGGGCATTCTTAAAAGTTTTATTTTTGTATTAGAAAAATAAGATTGTTAAATATATTTAATGAGATTTATTGGTATGTAAAATTTTATCTAAAAGTATTTTATAATTTGAAATGGGGGGAGTATTAGTAAAATTATATTTTTAAGTTTTAAATTAAAAAATAAAATTTCAAAATAAATTAATAATTTTATCAGGACCAAATGAAAATATATTTTATTTACATGACTAAATTAAAATTTCATTTTTTGGTCAAAAAAGAAAAAAATTAAATTTCATTTCAATCACTATAACGTTTTTCCAAACAAAATCACTAACGTAACAAATTTAGATTACTTTTTTTAAAAAAGAAAATGAATAAATTATTTTTTAAAATTTAGATTCAGTAATATTATAAATTTTAAACTAGTTTGTTATGTAAATTATTTTATCAACATTTAAATTGGTGTAATTTGACCTGTGTCATTAAATAAAAGTAATTTTAATTGTTAGTTAATTATACAATGAAAAAAAATTATAAAAAGGACAAAAATTTATAATAAATGATTCAAAAATTACATATAAGGATCAAAATTATTTTGACTTTTTTTATAATTTTTGATATCTTTATCTGAAAAAATTAATAATTAAAATTATTTTTATTAATGTTAATGATTATATTATACTATTTTTAAAAATTGAGTGAATAATTTATATACAAGTGAGGTGAAACATGAACGAATTCCATCATGAAAAATATCTTTATATAAATATGTGTGTTAGCGTAAAAAATATCTGAAGACAAAATTAATGAAAGAAGAGAAGAGATATGAGATGATGAGGTGGGAAGTGGAGAGAACATTAAGAAAGCAGAGAGTGAGTGAGTAAGAGAGCCACCATCGTCCTCGTGGGCTCACGCACTTCGTCACGGCGGTCAACCCCTTTCCTCCTCCCTTCATTTACGCCTTTTCATGAGAGACGTGTCCCTCTTTTATTTCACGTTATCACTTTCCTTCTTCCATTAACCTCCCCACCATCCCCTCCTCCTCCTCCTCCTCTCTCTCCCCCCCCCCTCTCTCATATATATATATATATAGAACTACACTTCGCTTTCGGGCGCGTCTTACCATCTAATGATTCATTGTTCAGGTTTATAAATTCTTATCCTCTACTTGCCCTCCAAGTGTTCGATAAATTTCCCCACTGGTTTCTGGTTTCATACCTTATGGACGATTTGCTGTGCCATGAGACATGGCTTTCGAGACCCCTGAACGCCCATGACTTCCATGATGATGATTCTTCTAATGTTGAACTACCCTTGTTCAGATATAGTGGTTGTGATTATAAGTATGAGAATGAAGAGTTTGAGTGGGCTTTTTGTGTGTGCATCGAGAAGGAGGTCTCTCTCATGCCTGAACCTAATTATGTCCACTATCTCTATTCCAACAATTTGATTCCTGCTAGGGTAAGAGTCATTCAATGGTTTCTCAAGGTCAGTTTCTGATTTTTCAGGGTCTCAATTCTGAAGAAGCTGACCTTTTTCATTGTTGTTGTGTGTAGTAGGTATATAGTAGGACCACAGTACATGCATATTTATATATACCCGTAAGTTGACACCCTTAATGAAATTTCTCAGTCTATTAACTTTTACTGTGTTTGCAGTGTAGAAGTCGCCTTAATCTTTCTTTTGGAACAGTCTTCTATGCGGCCAATTACCTAGACCGATTTATATCTATTTGTCAATGCAATGTAAGGATTCCTTAATTATCTGCTGAATTAATGTCAGTTTATGTTTTTGGTTGATCTAACTAACAATGTTTTAACTTTTAAATATGAACTCGTTCACTAACTCAATTTGAAGATTAAAGTTAATATTGTAACTGACATTTTGGTGGCTTATGTGATTAATTTTGCTGAGAATAAGGATAAGATTTTTGAACAATGTTTATGCCTGCAGGATTGGAAATATTGGATGGTTGAATTGCTGTCGATTACGTGTCTATCAACTGCGATAAAGTTTAATGAGACATCAGCATTCAGCTTGCATGAAGTTCAGGTGATTGTCGTAACTGCTATTGTATGCTTCATACCTATTAATTAGATATTAGTACTAATTAATAACCTTAATTTCTAGAGCTATTCACACTGGAGTTTTCAAAGAGAAACCGCACGACTGATTATTAGGAACCCCATATTCAAGAAAGAAGTACTACGTACTGTCGTGTCTTTTTTCTATGAAATTGTAATGCAATGATTTCTTGAACTTGGAAGCATGCCAATTCCAGATACTCAAATTAATGGATATTGTTTTTGATTGCAACTCGAGTTTGTGTGGCTTTATATACTTGAATGATGTCATATATAGATGGAGAGCTTGGATCATTCGTATGAATCAAACACAATCCTGAGAATGGAGCTGATACTGTTACAAGCAGTAGGGTGGCGCCTTAACACTGTGACACCTTATTCCATCGTAGAAACCGTAGTCTGCTATGTTCCCTCGTCCTTGAGACCCAATCTTCATGAGAATATCATGTCACGAGTCACCAAACTGCTTCTTCAAGCTACTTTAGGTATGCCTCAAATTGCATATAATTTATTGCTTTGCTTTTGCCCCGTTGGCATGTGACCTAATAAACGATATTATTTGTTTCTATATAATGTAAGTCAAATATGAAACAATGAGATATATATATATATATATATATCACAGACTAATCATAGCGTTCATCATGAGATTGATATGCACTTGTATATATAGTAACTGTTCATATAATGATGTCTCGTGTGCTATATATATATATATATATATAGGTAGACAGGGATATTTTGCTTGTTAATGTTGGATGCTACATGTGGCAGATCTGAGAATGATGGGGTTTAGGCAAAGCGTTGTTGGAATATCAGCACTATGGTGCAGTTTAGAGGAGTTATATCCCGCTGTGTCTGATGCTTTCATTGCTTACATAATGAAATTACTCAGTCAAAGTCAGAAGGTAATTAAGGGATACTAATTTAATACTCTCCTAATGGTGCTGTTTAGTTGAATGTAAAATTTAGAGTTGGGAATACGGGCGGGCCCGGCCCTTAAGGGCCTAAGCCCTAAAGCCCGGTTTCCTATTTTGAACTCCATTTTTCAAGCCCAGCCTTATGTGAAGGGCTCAGGGTCAGCCTCTCAAGCTCTTTTTAAAAAAAAAAAAAAAAATAAAAAAAACATTATAAATTAATTAAAATATTTTAAAATTAAAAAAATAAAATCCTCATAATTTTTTAAAAATTAAACAACACACAATTAGAAGTCTATTAATAAAATTTAAATATTGGTTAAAAAATAATTCATTTTTTATAAATACACAAACATAATAATTATAGAAAAATAAAAAATATCAGGAATTTTATACTATATATTGATATTTATTAAATTATATTAAATTAAGTTTAAAATAAATTAAAATTAACAATAATATAATGCGTATAGGATTAGGTGAGCATGTCTTAGCTTCAAATATATGTTCTACCATAAAAAAAAAATATATAACAGGGCTTGAAGGGTTACTCGAGCCCGAGCCCTTTTTTTACAGGGCTTATTAGGGCCAAGTTCTCAAACCCAATTATTTTAAAAAAAATTTATTTTCAAAGCCTAAACCCTTATTTAAATAGGGCCTCCAAGCCCAGCCCTTCAGGCCGGCTCTTATTCCCGGTTCTAGTAAAATTTATAACTTATGGTATTTATTCCCTTTTTTCTTTTTCTTTTTTGGGTTACAGGAGGATCTCATTAAGTGTCACAAGATTATGGACATTATTTCAACAACTTTAGAGGACAGTTATGGCCATCACTATTGCAGCCTTTCTAAGAGCCCAACCACTGTTCTTTGATTAAACATAATTAAAATGGAGATTATGATTCCATTGTTGGAAGGTCGAGATAATATATTGTTATAGCGGGGCACGAAATAATCTTCAAATAACATGAATGTATTTAAGCTTACGGTCCACACTTTAGTCTCAAGTAGTCCCTTGTTTTATTTATAAGTTAATTATCTAATTCTCACATTTTTGTGTGTGCACACGTTAAAAGCATGTAATTAAGAGCCATGTTGGAATAAATCAGTATTCTATTGCTCCTTTTGTTTTATGAATATTTCTAGGGCAGACTAATTCAAAATATCACTGGTGCCAAAATGTAATAGATCTAATTCTATTACCGTTTTTTTTTTTCTTTTTTTGCCTAAAAATTAAACTGTCTTAAGAGTGGAGAATATATAAAAAGAAATAAGAATAGAACCCTTTCGTTACAGTTTAGTTTAACCTTGGCAATTGAAACTGATGGTGCTATTTGAGCTCTGCCTTCTTTGTATAAAATCATTTCTTGAGCGGCCATCTGCATGACTTTGACCAATATTCATCTATATTAGGCATTTCTTTTTATAAATTGTACAATACTCATCCATTAACTTATGGATAATACCATTTCATGTAATTTTTTATATTTATTGATGATATTGATAAGACTTGCATTGACAAGAAATCAATGAATGAGAATTTGGATATGCCAATATTAATTATAAGTTTTTTTAAATAATTTAATCTTTCTAGAAAATCACCAACGTAATTTCTCCGCGTATTATTCAATTTTGTTTTAATCTGTGACCTTTCTGTCAATTCATATTTATATTTGGGGGAAAATTTTTTACTTGATATTCTTTCTCTGACAAATTTCCGCTGGAGCTTCTTCCATTGAACCAAAAAAAGAGTCATTTCATGTTCCCTTGATGGGCCTGTGGTATGTGATCAACGGCCCATTAAGACTCTCGCTCATGGTGGGAACTGAGAAGCGTACCTAAGCTCCCCTCCCAATTCGAATCTCCACCACACAAAATTAAAAAGAAAATTAAAAAAAAAAAAAAAAACACTATATAAGTTGCGCTGTTGCAGGGTGAAGCAGAAGCAGAAGAGATTGAGGAAGAAAAGGGAGGAAAAAGAAACAGGAAAAAAAACAGGAAAAAAAAAAGCCATGGCTGCTTCGTCAGCTATAGAATCATCTTCTCTTCTCCCATCTGGAATTCTACCGCTTAATATTAATACTTATCAGCATCAGAAGCTCTTCTTCCTCCCAAATTCGTGCCTTAATCGCGGAGGCCACCTCAACAAAACTCGAAATTCCTTTAGAGTCGAAGCAGTGAAGTCCCCGCCCGGTGTATGTTCTTCATCTTTCTCATTCTTGCTTATATTTTTGCTCTTTCTGTCTCCTTATTTTTCAGTTAAGTCATTCATACGTCATTTTCTTTTCTGAAATTTTGTAAATCATGCTTTTATCCCGTTCCCAATTAGGTCATTCATAATACCTCATTTATCTTGTATTGCTTGCTTAACATGCCGGGAATTTCAGATATCTGGGCTTTAAGTGAAAGATTGTTAAGTAACTTAGAACTTGGGTCTCTTCAGGTAGAATTGCCCAAAGTAGAGCCACAGTTTAAAGCTCCATTTCTGGGGTTCACAAAGACAGCTGAAATATGGAACTCTAGAGCTTGCATGATTGGAATAATTGGTGTTTTCATTTTAGAATTGGTGAGTATTGTTATTTTTTGGCAGATGGTGCAAAACAGGTAAGCATGTTTTCTGAGTTTGGTTATTGTGTGATTGTTATGGTATTCGCTTACAGATAATCAACAAAGGAATACTTCAGGTGATTGGAGTTGATGTTGGAAAAGGACTAAATCTTCCTCTCTGAGAGCATTTGTTTTTGCTTTCCATGAACTAATTTTTGAATTTCTCACTCAGCAAAATCAATTGTTTATGCTGTAAGTTGTATACTCCCTCTTTGTGTATTGCTATTACATTTAACATGAGATTTGTCATTACTTACCGCTCTTTGGGGGGAAAAGGTTATATTTTTATTCTTTTAACCTCTCTCTTTTCAATTTGGATCTTATCATTTAATGATCTGTGGAGCAACTTCTATTTAAAAAAAAAAAAAAATCTTGTGCCCTGAAATCTCTCTCTCTCTTTTTTTTTTTTTTTTACCAACGAAGATTAATTATTGGAAGTGAAGCTACTGGGTAATTAGACCCTTGTACAGTTGAAAGATTTTAGGATATATAATTACCTATTACAGTACTTAAGTGCATGTTTGGCATCTAAATCACGATCTTGACCAGAAAAGATGACTGAACTCATGCAAGATATATCCGATATGGCCTAAACGATAGCAACAGTCCGAAAAGTGCAAACTGAACAATAAAATAAAGAGCATTACAAAAAGATAAGGCAAATCAGCCGCTGCCATCGTAATCTCTTTCGATGTCCAACCCAGAAGAGACTATCTTGCACCACTGTCTAGACTGGATTCCACATATAAGATGATAAGATGTTTGCATAGTGGAGGTGGAAGAGCCTATTTAAAGATAAACTGAAAAAGATAAGTAATTTTAATTTTTTTTTTAAAAAATAGATGAACTTTTATTTGGTAAAAAAAAAAAAAATGAAAGAAGCATAACCAAAAAAGAGAGCCAGTGCAGTCAATGTGATGCGAAATATAAGTTAGGAGACCTTGATGCTTTCACAAGTAGGAATCCTCTTAGACTCCGTTAGAGTGGAAGAGTTCCGCACAGTCCTATTCTATCACTTTTTGCGAACTCAAAAGCAATGTTTACGGCTCTTTTGCGAACTCAAAATCTCTGCTGTCCTCATGGATTTATCGAGTCAGAGTATCTCAATGGACATAGATCCAAAACCCCCCCACCTCTTTTTTTTTCTTTTCGGGAGAATTACAGATAACTCCTCATGACGCATTTTAATGTCACAAGTTTTATTGAGAACTCAATAAAAAATGACAATTATTTTAATCGTTCAATAAATTGTGTGGAATTTAAATGTATTGGAAGAGATTTCAAAGTAATTTTAACCTTTTTCCCCTATCCTCCTACCAAACAAGACATTATATTTTGCAAATGGCCCTATTCATTTATTAATGATAAAAATTTACAAGCATTACTCAAACCAATGAGGGTGCTTTACCGAAGAAGAATTTTGAAAATTTGAATATTATTAATTTTGAGGTTAAAATCACATCCATAATTGAAATCTTACACTACAATGCGGAACTAAAGCATAAAGAACAATCATATTGTATCATATGCTTATCTATGCTAACAGGGAAACACACTCAGGATTATAATTAAATATTGTCATAAAGCAAAATGTTCTGAGCACAACATAATTTTCGTCTAGGCAAAGATAAGGATTGGATACTAACCATCAAAAACCATATATCTACTTAATGTAAAGTAGAAAGACTGTAACCAAAGTTAAAAGTAGAAGCAGCAGCAATATATTTTTATATAGGATCCTTACAGTAAAAAGATGTCGGCCACCTCTTAAATATAAAAAATCGAGCTCCCTATAATTTAATCAAACGACTCTGTAGTGAGGAATCCTGAGTTACGAAGCAATGCATATATGCTGAATTTAAGGAGTGGAGAGTTCCAGATTGGAAGTGGATAAAATCAAGTAAAAGATTAGTAGGAGTAACACTGAGTGTGAGAAAGGCAGTGTTTTAATCTTAAAAAACCTCACCTCCTGCCAACTATATAGCAGCTTTCATCCACCACTCGAACTTTCAATCCTACATTGAAAAATTAATTAAACTTCAACAACTAATGGCAACAACTTCTTCCTCTGCTCTCCTTCCTCTTCTCTTTTTATACCTCACCACCTTTTGCTCTCTCATAGGTGATTTCTCATCTCTAATCCCTTGATTCCATCTCCTTTACATCAAATTAATCTATCAGTTTTATTTAATTATCCTTCTCACTTACTTACTTGACAAAATGTAATTTATATTTGCATATACTATAATACAATCCTGCATTTAGTTGACCAGTTAAACAAATCTTTTGCGCGCATGTGTTGTTGTCCAAAAATGTTGACACGAGATTTTTGCAGATGGAGCTCAACTCATAGTTGTGAACAACTGCACGGAAAGTGTGTGGCCTGGAATACTGGGTAGCGCCGGCCAACCAACACCAAGGAAGGGAGGGTTTCACCTCGGAAGCGGAGAAGAAGTAATACTCGACGTCCAGGAGAAATGGTCCGGTCGAATTTGGGGAAGGCAACACTGCGCGTTCAACAACACCGGCGACGGATCATGCCTCACCGGCGATTGCGCCGGGAAACTCCATTGCAGAGGCAGGTCAGGTAATCCTCCTACAACAGTAATCGAAATGACGCTTGGATCGTCCTCTTCTCCGCTGCATTTCTACGATGTGAGTCTGGTGGACGGATTCAACTTGCCTGTTTCGATGAAACCAATGGGAGGCGGAATCGGCTGCGGCGTGGCGGCGTGCGAGGTGGATCTGAACTTCTGCTGTCCGTCGGCGTTGGAGGTGAAGATCGGAGGAAAAGTTGTAGGGTGTAAGAGTGCTTGTCTGGCTACTAAATCGGCAAGGCATTGTTGTACTGGGAAATTTGCAGATCCAAAGGCATGCAAGCCAACTCTGTCGGCTCATATCTTCAAGGCAATATGCCCAAAGGCTTATAGTTATGCTTATGATGATTCTGGAAGCCTCCATACATGCAGAGCTTCCAGGTATCTCATCACTTTCTGCCCTACAATGTAGAAGCAATGCTGAAGTGATACGCTATCCAATTCAGCATCGTATAGTTTCAACGTTTGTAATTAATATATAGTTCACATAATTTTGTAAGTATTTTGAATTTGGTTTGTTATCAGACCTTGTGCTTTTAAATTTGGTTGATGTATTCTACTATTCTAGTGTTGCAGTGAAACTTCCTGTTACTTTATAGCTTATATCGGACACCTATAGATACAATATATATATATATATATATTGAACAGCACTCATCCAATACTATTTTTTCTTTTAAAATTAAATGAATTACAAAATGACTATTTAAAATTTAAAAAAAAATAATCTTTTTAATCCAACAATTAAAATTGAGTCTTTTAACTATGATTGAATATAACTCAATCATTCAACTTCAGTGTTTTGCGCCGTTCATAGGTTGGCCCTTTTTCTTCATAACTCATCCCACGAGGCGGTGATTGTGCATCATCAACTAAACTAGCTCTCTAATCTTGCTGATCTATCAGGCTCTCCGTGCATTGTTGCATATATGTTCTTCCAATGGGCCATTTCTCCTACAACTAAGTTTAGAATTCCTACAACCGTGTTTCACGGGACTAGTTTCTCCTCTTTGTGTGCTTCTAAATGTATCAGACTCTACAAGCCACACTACCATGTTTCTTCATATTCAAAGTCATTATTTATTCATAACCTTCATACATGCAAAATGCAGTCAAGAAGGGACTACTGCAAAACTTGCATAATGACTGCTGAATTATTAGTGACAAAGAGTGGAGAAAAACAGAATGTCAATGTGCTTTGCCTAATTTTGTCTCTATTGATAATAATGTATTGCTTAAGCAACTTCTAAATCAATTTATATAACATAGAAGTTTTCACACCCTAGAATAGGGAGAAGAGATATCCAAGAGTGACTTCGATGTGCGGATACCAACGAAGCTGTGTCATTCGTATAAAGCAACCACCTAGTGATTATTAGTTACTTTATACAATAACTACCCATGTGATCTTCATATTCAAAACTTGCTTTGTATTCTTCCTTCTCGCTGCTTAAATCTGTACTCGCTAAACTTCGTCCTCGCGGCAAAGTTGTATTTTTTCTTCCTCATCAAACCCCCAGCCTAGTACTTTTTTGTTTGTTTGTTTTTTTAAAACTCTCTCTCAATATCTGAACCTACAGGGAGGCCAAATCATTTACATTTAACAGCATTAATAATATTAACTGACAAGTAGGATGACTCGGTGACAATTCAGCAATGAGCCAAAAAGGAAAGGAACCAACTTATAAAAGTTAGAAGATTAAGGACAGAGTTATAGATAGATGAATTGAGAGACTAAGTTATAAAGAGTTATAATTTAGGGATTGAGTTTTAATCAGGCAATATTTAAAAAGATTACAGAATTAGTTTTTCCAAATTTTTATATTGATGAATAATGTATATAGATATTATCAAATTAATTGATTGTGAATTAATATTTTCATTAATTGATTTTTTTTGTATGTCAGTATATTTCCACTAGTTCAACAATTTGTTCAATTTAAAAGGTCAAAACTAAGATTTTTCATAAATTTTTTTATTTTTGTTTCAAGAAAAGCTTCCCCCCGTTTTTGGTATTTTTTTAGTATAAACCATCCGATATCCTAGGGTATTTTGGGTTTATTGCCCGCCCTAAACTAATCCGGACGCCCCACGAGGAGATCTTACAGTGGTAGCGAAATATTGATAGGACAACCTCTTTGAAGTCGTGTTAATTATCGCGTCTGTCACTCTTCAGGGTTTGAACCCTCACCTTGAGGAATGCCGGTAGTAGCTCTTGCCAACTCTACCGAGCATCCATCGGTTCCCATTTTTGGTATTGCTAAAAGAAAAGTTTGACATCACATTACAATGAGTATGTTGGGCTTCTAATTTTAGGGCCAACACCGTAATTTTGCCAAAGTCCAATTAATTTTCAAGCCCAATAGTTAATTTGAAGTAAGCATATGCCCAAATTAACTAGCCTAGGTGATAGTGGGCAATTTTGCGTATTTCTTTACATGTGGCCTTGTGAATCTTATGGAGCATGTTGCTTGCTGTTCCCTTCCAGTTGTTTTCATAGAGTTCTATTAACTAGTCTTCTTAGATAGAAAAAATTAGTTAAATGTTAAAAAATTTTACAATGTTTTAAATGGTTAAAAGATAATTTGACCTCTAAATTATACGTCCTAAAGTGTTTGGAATCCTAAATTTATTTTTTGTACAATATTTTTTTTAATTTTTAAAAAGGTGCAATGTAGCTTTAGAAAACAATAGACAAGAAACTCAAAAATTATAAAAAAAATAACTAATAAAATTGTAAAAAATATCTAAAAATTACAAACATGAACCCAAAAAATTTCATGATAGAACCGATAATTTTCTTGGTCATTTTTTATAATTTTTATAATTTTTATTATTTTTAAATCAACTAACGATTAAATTAACTTTTGTTAATGGTTAAATTGAACTATTTTCAAAAGTTAAATGAAAATATTATATAAAAAATGAGTTCAAAGTTCTAGATGCTCCTAGAGCTATAGTTTAGGAGATCAAATTATTATTTAATCCTTTTTTGAAATTATTTTTTGGCTAGTAAAAATCAATAGAGAGAAATCAGAAATGTAAAAGCCATTACAAAGAAACAAGAGTGTCTTTTGGAGATTAGTTATAAATGTAATTTTATTAAACTTTATAAAGGGTCTTATATTAAGGACTATCAGCCTAATGAGTAACTTCTTATGAAAACTAGTATTATAAGGATTGGACTAGATCAAGCGGTTCAATTAGTTGGACTGGAAACTTGTCCTAAGTTTGGTCCAGCTATAGCATAAAATTGCTTATTATGAGGACCGGTAAAAACCAGCGAAATCAGTGGACAAACTAGTTGAACCGATTTTGTTAATTTTTTTTATTTTAAAAATTTTAATTCATATTTATAACTAAAATTTATGAATATTTATATCCAATAAGCATTGATAAATGGAGAAAAATGAATAAAAATGCAATAAAAATGTATAGAATATGTATATATGTATATATTTTAAAGTTATAAATTATAAAGGGAAAATTAATCTTTTAGTCCTTCAACTTTTAACTCACTTGTAACTCAATCCCTTAACTATGACTCGCTGCGACTCCGTCCCTCAACTATAACTCGCTGTAACTTAGTCCCTCAACTTTTAATTTACTTATAAATCGGTCCTTATTTTTTAATTTTTTTAAAATTTTTTTATCAAATAAGAGGAATAAAAAAATGCTTATATATTATTTTAAAATATCCTCTTCTTATTCATTAATGTGAGATATAAGCTAACATGAAAAAAAAATTAACAAAAGTTAAGGGACTAATTTGTAAGTGATTCAAAAGTTGAGGGATTGAGTCATAGGCGAGTTACAGTTGAGGGACTGAGTCACAACGAGTCATAGTTGAGGAACTGAGTTATAAGTGATTTAAAAGTTGGAGGACTAAAAGATTAATTTTTTCAATTATAAATTATAAAATAAGTATATATATTTTGGAGTAAAACGATGAAATATTGATGGATATATCTTTTTTATTTTATATTATTTTGTTAAAATTTAAAAATTTATTTTTATTATATATAATTATTTCCTTTTATTTTAAGCATATATTATTTAAAATATATTAATTTATTTATGATTAGTTGAACTACACTTCATATCATGGTTTGACTATTCAACCGTAACTTAATATTTTGTCCAATTCAATGATTAATTTGGTTTCATAACATTAATAAACAGAACTCAAAAGAGTATCATTTTATCACATTTTGGAGAATTGTAGTAAAGAATCCAAAATAACCACATCATTACAAATCAGGTTTATCCAAGTATTTGAGGTTTATCTTTGGTAAGCTTGCATTATATGACTTAGGTTGTTAGAAAAGAGGCCAACAGACATATGTTTAATAATTAAGGATTTTTTTTTTCAAAAAAGTAATTGATAATCATTTAAACTATGATTGAAAATTAAGTAAAATTTTGAACATTAACAAAATAATTTAAATTAATCGATATGGTTGGTGAAAATTGACTTGCCTACTGGATGTTTCAGAATTGTCATTCCTGCAAAGAAAATGGGGAGTTTACTTTTCATTCTATCATACTTTAGAAAATGTGTGAAGGAAAGTGTTAGAAACAATGGATGGGAAATTAAATTCAGTTCAGTAGTCAAGAGCCATGCAAATCAAACTGATTTAAATTATAAGTCATTGATGTCATTTCATTTTTTTTAAGCAAGTCCTTTGACTATAATTCGATACATTGAAATTTACGTCTCATTTTTCATGTAAAAATTATTAATTATATATCTGATACACAGTTGTCTTGGTTCTAGAAGGATAACGACGAGGCAAAATGGGCAAATGGCGTTAGTATATACTCCCTCCATTAAAAAATATAAAATATTTTTAAAAAATTGAATGTTCAAAAATATAAAATATTTTTAATTTTTTGAGAAGTAATCATTTTTTTTCAAAAGTTCCCATATTGATAATAATTTTATATTTATTATAGGGTGTTTAATAGGTGTAACCATATAAGAAGTGATAGATTAAAAATACTTTAATTTTTGAATAGAGAGAGTATAATATTTGCAGGAAAAAATGATGGAATATTTAATTATAAATCAGTACAATTATTAAATATTAAATTAATCAATTATTAAATATCCCAAATTATATAAAATACTTTTCACTGAATTATTAGAAAAAACAAAACAAAACAAAAGTGGAATAAGTGGTCATCTTGTATTAATGAAAGAGAAAAACTTTATTATTCAACCTTGTATTATTATTTGAAATTAATAAATTAATATATGTAAGTCATTTATATATTAATTATTCTATAACAAGTTGTTATTATTGATATTATTGACATTTTAAAATTTATTTGTTTTGATTTGATTGGATATAAATTAGACACAATATAAAACGTTTTCAAAAAATTCCACTCTAAAATATAAGACATTAGATATGTTCTATATATATTTTTAGAGAAAATATATTTTTATATTCTTGTAATTTCTCTTAATTTTAAATTAAATCTCTGTAATTTATTTTATTTTAATAGAATCTTTATAGTTTAATCTATTAAATTTTTAACTCCTTGAATGTTAAAATCTTTACTTTTTTCCTTTAAAAAAATTAAGAACTTTATATTTTTACTAAAATATTATATAAATTTATAATTAATTATATATTTTTATAAATCAAAATTTATATAATTGGGTTGTCTTATAAATAATTTTTATACATGTAGAATTTTCAAAAAAAAAAATTAATAAATGGGTAAACAGTGTTTTAAATCAAATTTTCTTTTACAATTTTAGCCAAAAATACTTGTTTTTTGGATAATTTAAAAAATTTATTATTACTTTTAATCTCAAGGATTAACAAATCTAATGAATAAAACTGGGATTGATTAAAGCAAATTAATTCTACAATTTACAGACTCTGAGGAAACGCGAGCACATGCACAAACAGCAGTGGAACCATTGGTTTAATTTATGCAATACGTTAACAGCAACACCTTGGCAATGGCGCCAACGAGCCCGGATTCATGTGAGTTTCAATTTAACTGAAAATAAGACAAAAAGAGAAAGACAAGAGATAACATAAGCAGCTCTAACATATCATGTATGCATGGAATGAATCAACGACCTCCAGAGAGAAGCGATTCAGCTACTGAAGAACTGTGAGAGAGAGACTGATCAACAAATGATGGAAAGGACATAGTAGAGTCAGGAAACTCTTGATGATGCCCAAACGATAAGCCTGGAGAAGCAGAATCTAAGCTTAGAGACGACAAATCAGGCAAAGATACCTCCCCATTCAGACACTGCACTACTTGACGCATGCTTGGCCTACTCAATGCTTGGCTGTTTGAACACAAAAGACCCAGTTTCAACACTAACTCTACCTCTTCTATGCAATACTCTATTCCCATATTCTGATCCTTTGCCATAATAATCTCACCCCTATTCCACAACTCATAGACCCAATCTACTAAAATCACACTCTCTTCTTCATTCACTTGCTCTATGGGCCTTCTTCCACACACAACTCAAGTAAAAATGCACCAAAAGCAAAAACATCTGACCTTGTTGTCGCTTTCCCTGTTCTTGTCTGCTCCGGCGCTAGATAACCAACGTCCCGACCACATGTGTAGTTTGAGGATCACTCCCATGATCATATAATCTTGCAAGACCAAAATCTCCTAATCTTCCATTCAGTTCTGAATCAAGGAGAACATTGCTTGCTTTTATGTCTCTGTGCACAACCACTTTTTCACACTCTCCATGTAGATAGCACAATGCCGAAGCTACTCCTTTGATGATTTTAAATCTTTGTCTCCAGTTCAGTGTCACTCTTGGTTGGTTATAGAGATATTTATCTAAGCTTCCATTTGGCATGAAGTCGTAGACTAGAAGAAGCTCTCGTTTTCGTCTACAATATCCCAAAAGAGGTACGACGTTTCGGTGGCGAAGACGACCGATACTAACAATTTCTGCTACAAATTCCCTCATGCCTTGTCGAGATTCATGCGACACTTTCTTCACAGCAACCCCAACTTTTGAAGTTGGCATTGTTCCTTTGTATACTCTACCAAATCCACCAGCTCCTAGAAGCTCTTTATCCTTGAATCCCTTCGTGGCAACGTAGAGGTCTTTGTATTTGAACCTGTGAGCACCATATTCTTGCTCCCACTCTTCCTGAATCTCAGAAAACTTCCTTTTCCTGTATATGTAATAAACTATCGATAAACTCACCAGAAAAATCAAACAGAGTGAAAACAGAGGTAACCCAATTGGCAAAATCATAGATCGTTTTCTTCCACCAAGTCGTGGTAGCTTCGGCAGTTTAGAGACAGCAAGGTTTTGAGCCTCCCCATTGAGCTTGAAGCTCCAGCCAAGAACATAATGAGAAGTTAAGACAGACCCAGTGGAAGATGAGAATCCGACATAACTGGGATTGTCTATAATCTGAGAAAGATCTTGGGACAACGTTAGCAGTGGAGTTTTGGGTTTTGTTAACGTTGATCGGAGCTAGGGTGACACTGATTTGCTTTTTTCCGCCATCGTATTCCACCCAGACCTGCATTGGAAGGCCACTAATGAGACTCAGATTCTGAAACTGAGACTTGTTCATATAATATCCTGCAGGAGCAGATAGCAGACTTCAAGCTATTAATGTCGATTCCAACATGGTTATCATTGATATCGTCAAACTCACTGCTGAGGATGGTGTCCAGTTCTACGGCGAAAACTTGGTTTGTACGATTGCCATTATTGGTGTTATTGAAGAGGCCTAAGTACTGACTGGGTAAAGCACCTGGAAGTGCTTTTTCTGGGGAAATTAGAAAAGCGATTCCATGACCACTCAAAGTTCTGTATTCTGATTTAATTGCGAAGACGAAAGTGGTAGAGAAAGAAGAGTTATTCAAAACCATTGGATGGGGTAAAAAGCATGACCTTTTTCTTGCCTGGTTTCATTGGTGAGTCGGAGCAAGCCATTGGAGGTGATCTCAGAAATACCATCCATGGTTAAATTAGCTGATGGAATCCATTGTTAAAGATGAAGCTTGTATCTTCACCACTAACTTGTACCGTTGATATCACCACCACCAAAAGCATCATCGCCATCAGCTTCTTCACAGACATGGCTTCGAAACGAAAGGTTTTCTTCTTTCTCTGATTTTTGCTAGATAGCTCAGATAGAATAACTAGTAATATAGACCCCAGAAGGATGACGTTGTCTATAGAGTTATTTGATTTACCAATAAATATTTAATGGAAAAAAATCAGGGATTAATTAAAGTATTATTATTTGTTCAGCCACCATTGAAAGTCATCTTGAGTGGGGGCGCGCAACTGGGGAAGGTGTGTGCCCCTCGCTGGCTGCTTTGAACTATGAAGATATGATTGAGGTTGAAATTATGACACTTGATTTGTTATTATGTGAAAACATGTGAACTCAATCTATGGTCAAATGATCTATGACGTATGGAAAGCGAAACAATTTGGATCAAATGGATGGCTTGAATTTTTGAAAAATTACTATTTTTCAAACAGATTTCAAAAAAAAAAAAATTGATAATTAATCCTTTAAGTGTCATCACTTGTATATGAAGAAGCAGCGACAACTATAACAACTATAATTTAAACTTTTACTTAGGATATTTGGCTTTCCCGTGCTGCACTAAAAGCTTTCTTGTATGGTTACGTAGCCGGTAGCAAGTCTACTTCTTTATCCCAAAATAAATAAATAAATAGTTTTATTAATTTAAAATTAATATTTGTACTAAATTTTAACATAATTTTAATTTTAAAAATAAAAGGAAAAAATTTTAAATGGCTAATTAAAACTATAAGAATTGAGTTATAAAAGTTACAGTAAAAGAGTAATAAATTAAATCAAAACTATAAAAATCGAGTTATAACGAGTCAAAAAACTGAGTTACACAAGATGATTAAACTATAAGGATAAATGATTAATTTTTTTCATATTTTAAATATAATGAATTTTTTAATTTTAAACTTATATGATCTTTGATTAACATTGTAATTCACCCAAGTCTTTAAGCTTATGTTCAATTCTCCAGAGATGATGAGAGCCGCCATTGAAGGCCTCTGAATTGTGGCAAATGGGGTGTGTAATTGTGTATTTGGACTTTGGCGCCTACTTGCTAGTTGCCAAGTAGGAATAAATTAAAAAAAAATAAGAAGAAGTGAGGTTTGTGTTAATTATTTTATTAATTATGCATAGTTTATTTTATCAAAATAAAATAATATACATCCAAACATTACATATTCTAATATATATTTTAATTTCCGAAATAAGACTTCTTTAATTTTTTTATTTTAATATTTTTTTACTATTTTTTCCTTTTTATTTTCTTATTTTTACCTGTAGTTATACTTTTTTTTTTTTAAGAATAAGAAGCCTTAGGCCAATTCAATTTTTTTCTGCTTCTTTTCTCTCTTTCCTTTTTATCAGTCTCTTATTTTTTTCCTTCATCTTTCCTTCTCTATTTCTTTCTTTCTTATTTTTTTTGGTCTACAATTGAATGGCTCTTGATATTATGTTAAATTTTTTAATATAAGCATGTTGAAGATATTATTTTATTAAAATAACTTAAGTTATTTGGTTGAATACATTTCAAATTTTATATATTTTTAATATATATTTATTTTTAGATGTGAGATTTCTTTAACTTTTTTATTTTTAATAGTTAGAATTTGGACAACTATGCTTATGTCAAATAATTTTTTACGGGAAAATAATTTTGCTATCGGTGAAGCCTACTCCTTCCACTATAAAAAAAAATTTAAATAATTAGAAATTAGATATATGGTTCTGATTTATAAAAGATTGTTATTTTTTAATGTTTTTAGAAGATTTTTTTACTTAAATCTTGAAGTGTCACTTTTCTAGATTTATGTGAACTTTTTAGATTGAGGACCCATTTGTTTTTACTTATTTCATGAAAAAAATTACCTATTTTTTTAAAAATTATTTTGTGAGTTTGTAAGGTGTTTGTTTGAAGTTTTAAAAAAAATCAGAATTCAAAAAAGCATATTTTGATTATTTTAAAAAGCTACTCATAATCTAATATGATAGATAGAAAAAAATATTTTAAAAAGGAGGGATATGCAAATATATAATAAATTTTTTAAATAATATAACAATAAATTATTTTTATAAAATAAAAATCAAGGAAGATATTATAAAATTTAAAAAACTAATTAATAATTACTTTTTTATTATTATAACTAAACATAAAATATTATATTTTTTTATAAAGTCTCTAAAAAATAAATCTCTTTTCATCAAATCTCTAAACTATCTAAAAATAATTTATTTTTTAATCTTAAACAAACAACCTCTAAGACTTAAAACGTTACTCTAGCTAATTAAAAAATCGAATTCCAATTGACCCTTTTATTTTCAAGGTTTAGTTCAATTGTAACTTTTTTTGAATTAGTTCAATCATAACTTCAAACAACTTAATTTGATGATATGTGATTAATAAATTATATTAATATGATACTCTCTCCGTTCAAAAATATATGGCATTTTTAACTAAATTTTATCCCAATAAAGTAGTTATCTATTTTCCAACTAATCATATCTTTTTTATATTTATTCCTATTAAACACTTTATAATAGATATAAAGTCATTATCAATAAAACATTTTTAAAAAAAAAGGCAATGATTACATCTGAAAAGATTAAAAATACCTTTATATTTTTTAATATATTTTTTAAAAAATATCTTATATTTTTGTGGAGGGAGTATACAATTTCTTTATTTGCTCACTAGAAAAAAAATCCTTTCGTTCCTGGTCATAACATGATGTCATAACATGATGCCTTTTCAAAATAATTGTCTAAAATTATAAGCTCATAGGCACAGGCAGGGCTGTGTAAATTATCTATGCATGGTTTTGGGGTAGTTAGTGGTTGAAAGAGTTGAATTAACTTATTTTAAAATTTTAAATTTAAATATTAAGATAACTATACATTAAATAAAAATATTAAAAGCATTTTCAAAATATTTATAAGATCATCATTGATAATAACAATTTAAAAAATAGAATTTAAATCAGTCTAGACGAGTGGTGGTAACATGTCAAGTTGCCTATATATATCAGCCAATAAAAATTTAAGAAAAAATTATACATGGTGTTCCGATCAAGGCTTCCTCGTAATCAACTTACTATGAGATTTAACCATTAAGTTCTCATTCTCCACGCTAAGCCATCAACCAGCGTGCATTGATGGGTCTGATTCGGTGCGAGGAGCTATGCCACGCATGAAGTTACGTGGACACATCCTGACCAGTCAAAAGATCTACGCACAAACACTCTTAGAAGGTCAGGGGTTCAACGAAACGCTGCGGCGAAGGAAAGGATTTCCGGTGGTGGTTGTGGTGGGATTCGGCGGCTTGAAGTTTTGTGTGGAGGAGGGTTTATGTATAAATACAATTTGCCGACAAACTACAATTATTTTGGCCCAATTAGACATTGTTCTCGCATATCGAATGAGAAGATGATGATTGTCTAATGTCCATCAGGGATCTTGGATTGTATTCATTTTGTATATAAATTTTTTAGTTAATTTTTTTTTTCCTTTTCATCGCTGACAAAACTAACTATGGGCTATTTCTACTACTAATCAAAGCAATACAGATAGTTTCACCAATACAACGCCGGGAATTCAACTTGCTGAAAATGAAACCCAAAAAAAAAAAAAACCATAGGAAAAAACAGGAATAGAAAGCTCCAACAAAATCACATGCCAAGGCATTAACGACCTCCAGAGAGAAGTGATTCAGCATTGGAACATTGAGAAAGAGATTGGTCAACACACGATGGAAGGAACGACGTTGTAGAGCCAAAAAAGCCTTGGTGATTCTCAAATGACAACCCTGGCGAAGTAGAACATAAGCTTAAAGATGATGATATGTCTGTGTTGAGAAAATGATGAGAAAACTAATCAAATATTCATTAATAGAAGTGAAACAATATGATAGAAATTGATTTTTCACTTGAAGGATTTACCATACTAATCTATCCATTTGCGTGATTCTCAAACTCCACTTCGGGCTAACTTGAGGTGAAGGCCTTTGTTAACTTCCCTCTTAAAGGTGGCATGAAACCCCCTTAGTTAATACAATGATATGATCCCCTTATATAGATTTAGGAATATCAACTAACTAGGTGATTAACACTAATCACCCCTAATATTCCAACACCCCCCTCAAGTTGACACCTCTTTTAACTCTAGGTGCTCAACTTGCCAACAACAATTACAAGGAGGGAACAAAAATATAATTGGAATATAAACAACTCATTGGTCAATTAGAACAATACAAATTAAACCATTCCTTTTGAGGAGCTTTACTAGCTTGCCTTGTTACATTCCTCTCTCTTCAAGTCTTCTCAACTTCATCTTTGACCTTCACAAAGTTCTTACACTGAAACTTCGATATGCCCAACACAACACTTCTTGTAGACTCCTCAATTCACGTCCACATGACAACTTTTCATTCATTTCCAAATGAGAAGCCTGAGGCAACTGAGCTTGCCATCCCATTCATATATTTCTGTAGAAGTATACATGCATCTATGTACTCTTTGTGTCATTAGGAAAGGCCAAATATAATACTGGTGGTAGCACCAGTTCTGCAGAATCTACAACATCTTGCATAGGGCTACAAAAATTGCTGGCATAGAACTTAGTCACAAACCTATAATTATCCTTATCTAAAGACCAACAACATCACACAAAAAATTGCTGCCAATTCTTGATCTTTCTAATCATTTGAAAGCATCATTGCCTTCATTGTTCCTCGATCTCAAATCAATACCACTATCATGAAACTTTAATTGTCAAAAATAGACTTAGCTTGTCCAATATCTCGATCATGAAAGAGGAATTGACGGCTTAGGTTGCTCTTCTTAATGACATCATCATTAGTACTTGCCAGTATCCTATTGACTTCTATGAGAAACACCCATTAGCGCAAGAATCTTTAGGAACTCACATCCCAAAGCACCAAATCTGACAATAAACACTTTAGCTTCTTCTAATTTCTTTTGTACCATAGCTGGGTTTACATTGAGAACCTAGGCTCAGAACATTTGACTATCCTTTGAACACAGTAGCAAGAAATTACAACAAACCTAAAA